CCCTCCCTCCTTCCTTCCTCTCTCTTTCTTTTTCTTTCTCTCTTCTTTTTTCTGTCTCTTTTTCTTATTATTGCTATCAGAGAACCTCTTATTCACTCATGGAAACACACCAGTGCAATCTATGTTTTAATAGTTCTGAGTTAGGTTATTTATTTCGGTTCACATGGGAATTAAACCCGTCGTGACCAATCGTGACACTATTTGCCAGGCACAGACAATTCCCCAGGAGACAGGGCCACTTGGCATTGTAATTCTTGCCCTTTTCTTTGTCTTTTTCTCTCTCTCTCTTTTTCTTCTTTCTTTTTAGCCTTACGTGTGCTGGGAGGATCTCTGCTCCCCCGCCACGCCTCCAGCTCTGTCTGTCTGTCCGTCTGTTTTTAAAGGCAGGATCTCAATTCCTGCTCCCGTGCAAGTCTAGACCGCTGTCCACCCATTTCTGGCCTCCTCTTGTTGTACAGTGACCCTTTTCCCCTCCACTGAAATGGATCTCACGGATTCTCCTGCCCCGGCTTGATGGTGCAGGATGTCAGATGTGGCCCCTGTGCCCGGCTATGGACTGAGTAGGCATCTTATAGACTTGTCTAGAAACTCAAGCTGGCCTCGAATCACGATCCTCCCATCCCAGTCTCCCACGTGGTTTGGGTGACCGGTGGGGGAATACTCATTCTGTTCCCAGGGCTTGAGCTATCCGACTTGGCTGCTTTCATCCGGGCTGGTGCTCTACCACATGAGCCACAGCTCCATTGTTGGCATTTTGCTTGTGGATTGGAGCTGAATCTCTAGGATTTGTCTGCTCTGGCTGGCTTTGAATCACGATCCTCTATCTCAGCCTCCTGAGTAGCTAGGATGACAGGAGTCATACGCTAGCTCTCAACAAAATAGAAATACATAAACAAGAAAGGATGATCAGGCTGGACTGTGCATTACAAAATCAATTCTTGGACAACATCAGTGAGTGTGTGTGTGTGTGTGTGTGTGTGTGTGTGTGTGTGGACTCAACATCTGCCGAGGCTGGCTTTGAACCTTGATCCTCAGATCTCCGTCTCCCGAGTAGCTGGGATGACAGGTGTGAGCCATAGTCATCTTGTATAGCCTTCTTCCTGGAAACTTCCAGAACCAGGTTCCCTCACATCGCTAGCCCTCTGCAAAGCCGTTGTGTGTGGATGTGAGGAAAGCAAACCCTTTCGTTCTGCGGTCCGCTTTAGTTCAAAGCTTGACGTGGTCTCGCTAAGGTGAAATCTTGTTTTCATTGGGTTAAATCGTCGGCCTCTGCGATTGGAGGTCAAGAATCAGCCATTCCTGCAAGTGGCGCTGTGGCCCAGTGCAGGAGAGCCAAAGCTCAGAGACGGCTCCCAGGCCCCGAGTTCAAGGCCCAGGACCGACAGAGCAAAACAACAACAAAAGTACCGATCCGTTCGTGGATCTGGAAGGCTGAGGAGATGATCAAGTTCACACGCAGACTCGGCTATTGTGTTTGATTCCTTTTGGTGCTGAGGAATCAAACCAGGACCTCAAGAGGTCTTTTCTGTCTCCCGAGAACAGAGGCTGCCTCCTGGAGGCCATGGGTGACCGCTCAGCCTTCTTGGCTGTCCCTGAGGGAGACAGTCTTATTTCTCTGGGTGTCTTTCCATTCTTTTCCAGGCCTCCCATGGCGGCTTCTCAATGGAGACCCATGAGGAGAAAGCGGACGCACTTGGTTCCTGATCCTGAATCGTGAGCTTAGGAATCTCGTCGGCACAGCCCATGTGCACGTCTTTCTTCATTGCATATCAACCCTCAGCTTAGGAAACTGACGGTGCCCTGCCCAGTCCCAGCGGCTCCCGCCTGCCATCCCAGCTACTCAGGAGCCTGAGACCCGAGGATCATGGTTCAAAGCCAGCCGGGGCAGGAACGTCCATGAGACTCGTTGTCTTCAATGATCCCACAAAAGCCACAAGTGGTGCTGTGGCTCAAGTGGTAGAGCACCAGCCTTGAGCCAAAAAGCTCAGGAACAGCACCCAGGACCTGAGTTCAAGCCCCAGGACTGGCACGCACGTGTGTGCGCACACACACACATGCACACACACACACACACACACACACACACACACACACACACACGGACTTGAACTCAGGGCCTCACCCTCTTGCTTGGCTTTTCTGTGCAAGGCTGGCGCTCTACCACCTGAGTCATATCCCCACTTCTAGCTTTTTGCTGGTTCATTGGAGGAAGATAAGAGTCTCTGGGATCTATCTGCCCCAGGCTGGCTTTGAACCTTGATCCTCAGATCTCAGCCTCCTGAGTAGCTGGGATTCCAGGCGTGAGTCACGGGTGCCTGGCAAATCAGTCCCTATACTTTTAAGTATAGGGTATTGAGTAAAGATTTGTAGTTCATAGTGATGAACGCCTCAAAATTGCCATAGATAGATATGGAGATGGCTCGATGATTGACGGATGGATAGATATTGTCAATAGCTAGATATGGAGATAGCTCAATGATTGACGGATGGGTAGATAGCAGAACGGTACGTTAGATCCCACAATGAATATACACGGGACTAAAATCTGCAAATTTGTAGTCATAGAAAAAGTGATTTTTTAAGAAGCCTTATGATTTTGAATTTCTGGGGGCGTTTTTCTCTGGGGTCCAAGCTGACCCGAAACTCACGCTCCTAAACCTCTGCTCCCCCAAGATCAGGGATTGCGGGAATGCAGCATCACACCTGACCCATTTCACTCTTTTTAATAATACAGAAACACACACACACACACACACGCAGCATGCACACACACACACACACACACGCAGCATGCACACACACGCAGCATGCACACACACACTGCTTTTACACCGCCGCCAGGGGGAGCTGCAGCCGGTGTTCCCGCACACCGATGACTTCAAGGTTTTAATACCAGAATTCTTTTTCTGTTTTTTGTTTTTTTTTGACGCCATCACGGAACTCGAACTCAGGGCCTCCCATAATTTGGCTCGGCGTTCTTGCTCAGGGCCGGTGCTCTTCCGCTCTAACCACACCTCTGCTTTTCAAACATGTTTTTCATTTTTTAAAATGAGCATTGTTGTATCATTTTACTTTTTATTACCATTATCATGGTGGTTTTCAAGGCCGTCGGTCTTTAGACAGACAATCGAATCTTATCCACGCCACCGAATTCTGAGTTTTGGTGGAATAAATGGCCCCGGGGTTTTTCACTGCTAAACACTTCCCTTGGATAAACGTATCTGTGGCTCGATCTCGCTCAGTGAAGTGGGAAAAGTAGCTACCCCAAACCGTTTTCTTCTGTGCCTTTTGTGCCAGCACTGATTTCTGAGGAGCCTCGGTACTGATTGCACAGCTTATAAATAATACTTTCAGCACAATTGACTGTAATTACCCAAAGTGAGCAGATCTTACAGATAGAACTGTGTGTAACTGTGTCTGTGTCTGTGTGACTGTATGTGTGTGTGTCTGTGTGACTGTGTGTGTGTGTCTGTGTCTGTGTGACTGTGTGTGTGTCTGTGTGTGTGTATCTGTGTGTCTGTGTGTGTATCTGTGTGTGT